AAGTTCTCGAAATGTACAATAAGTATTTGACTTTTCTATCGATTCACAGTTGACCCTCTTGAGTTCCATCGATTCCTTTCAAAATTCCACTGACCCTCAGGGTCTATATCGACTCTGTCGGGAATCTCTGGTGAACATTTACATGAACATTTAGAAATTTATCATTTTAATTGTTCCTCTTTTCCAAGCTTGTTGTGGGTGATTATTATTAATTTAATCTGTTAAAAATAGCTTTTCATTATCTGATATTAAAAGGGACAAGAGTTGAACCGACAATAAAAACACGACACAAAGAGAAAAAGATTGTGACGAACGATTGGTGTTTTTCCTTTTCCTACCAGCACTATTAGCTACAGTCCACGTATAAAAAAGCAACTTAAGTTTACATGATGAAAACAAAAATGTATATTATATATATTGCCTATGAACATTGCTGCACTAACAAGGGAATGTTTTCAACTTGAAATCGAGTTTTGTCTTGAACTTCGTATTTAACCTATTTCAGGAAGGAAGAAAACAATAGGCACGGTTTTACGAAAATGTACGCGTAATTTACGCAAATGTATGCGTCAATCGCTACGGAAGGATTAAAAGTTTAATTTTGAAAATGATCTCTTAACGGAGTGAAAATCATTTCGTAACTGCACATCGTTATTTCTCAGAGAAAAAGAGAAAGCCAGTTTCAAGAAATGCTGTCGATTAATCCAAATCGTGTTGATCAAATACTCGGAAGGTCACTTAAAAATGAAGATGAAGATTATCTTTTGAAGCTAAAAGCTAACATTCAATATGAAAATGATTGAATGCACAATAAAAAAAAAAGCATGATATTGCTTTTGAACTCTTCATAATAAAATATCCCCTTATAAAGCTCTGAATTAGTTACGTTTGCTCTGAATGTCTTTATTGCGATTAAATTTTGTCATAAAACAGATAAAATACTGCCTGTTAAAGTTTTAACAAAATGTTGAATTTTTCGATTTTATGGCTTTTAACACCCAAATAGCGGTTGTAAACTCTCACTACTATGTTTGTTGTTTTTTCTCATTTTTGAAATACGAAATTTTAAGACGAATCTCGATTTCAAGTTGGAATCTTCTTTTGTAAGCTTTTAGGGGATTTAACCACCTCATACCTCCCGTAGCTACGGAACTGAATTTATATAACTACAAGATAGTACAAACCGGTTTTATTTGATCTATTACTTGCTCGTAACACTTTCCAATAGCTAATAAATATTCGTATAGCTAAAATTCGAATATCTATTTGTGAATTTTAGATCACGTGATCACAAAACTAGTGTCTTTCGGTTGGACAAACTCGGATTTTTATGTGACCCATATAGACATTCAGTAGTATGCTTATACAACAAGTCTGAAGAATATTAGAATTTTATGTTTGGCTGGAGATATAACATAAAATTTTCTCGATATAATAGAATATATATAGAATATAATATTCTATGTATAGAATAGAATATAATAGAAGGGTTAGATGTACTAAATAATATAATTTAAATACACTTTTCAACATGATATGTGTGCTGTATATATATAAATTTAAATACAGTAAATAAAAATTTATATTGCAGATTGCATTTAATAATAGTTACAAAATGTGCTTATAAATGTAAATCTACGTAAAATGTATTTATTAAATTGTATTTCTTTAAAATGTTATATGCTTTAGAGTTAGAATTGATTTTAGAAATTTTAAATTATGTTAAATTTATTATATGAAATTAGCTATAACTTGTAAAAATATTTTTATTATTTGATAATTTTTTTTTGTGTGTAAAATAGAATACCTGATTGAAATAATTTATACAATTATCTATGTTCAGTTTTCTAATATACTATACTTAGTACAGTACTATTTTATTAATTGTGAATTACAGATTGATGTGTAATATTTCTTTTAATATAACTAATGAATGTACTATTTTTATTTTGTTTAAATTATTATTAAATTAGTTAATAATCTATGTTTTAACTTATAATTTTCGTATAAAAACATATAGAGATGCCGCGCTTCATTGTAAATACGACGTATTGACTACGGTATTATCGAAGAGCGGCAGCAAACACTCTTCGATACACCGTTGATTGTAAGGTATATATCAGTAAAATTAAATAATAAACTTATAACAAGTTGAAATAGTGTTTGAAATTTTACATTCACTAAATATATAAATAATAAATAAAAGAGAAAAAAGGCAACTGAGTCAAAACGAACACTAAAACTGTCAAATGATGTAACCTAGTCGACAATGGGGGAGAGTATCTTTCGATGATATCAACAGCATTGATGACAACATTTATTTTGGACATAAATTGTGATCTTGGAATCAAGCCAAAATAATATACAGTACAGTACTGTATTGGTTGTTAAGTACAATATTATATATGGAATAATAGTTGGATGTGAAAGAATAATAATAATACCTGTTTGATGTGAAAGAAAAAAAAAAGTTTGGGGTATCAATTATTACTGTGTTTATTTTTAATGAGTTTTTCTAATGGTTAATCATTTTTGGCGAGCAAATTCTTATATTTTGTAATGGGGCGTGGCAACTTTCCGTTTATACTTTGTTTAAGAACCGCGATTAGCCCAATACTTCCAATTCTCTGTTATTGAGCAACCCAAATAAAATACTTATATGTGAAAACTGCTTGATAAGACGAATTTTTAACTGAAAACTTATGAATTTAGAATTAGTTTATTTGTCACAAGAAATTCTTATAACAGCTGTCATCAACACAGTGTTATTTCACAATACGAGTATAGATAACACAAACATATAATAAGCCTCTTAAATATGTTAAAAACAATTGACAATATTTATTCTTAAGGTTGGTGAAAATGTAAAATCATTAATATTCGATAATCTTAAAAGAAAATTCTTATTGATGTAGGAATTTAGTCACAATCTACAAGTTTATTTCTATAATTTTATGTCCAAATTAGCATAGGTGTATTCAGGAAGACAGTGGAAACATGGTCATTTTTAATTAAAAATAAATAAATAAAATATTTACAAAATAAATTTTTAATTAAAAATATAACAATGATTAAATAATACAAAATGATAACAGAGATAATGATTAGCAAATATTTGATAATATATTTGGTTAAATATTATATAGTTTATTTAAACACAGTAGTATGCTAAGTGAAAAAGTTGTTTGATTTATTATTATTATAATTTCTTCAAAATAAATGAGTGGGAAGCTTTGTTTAAAGTAGGCTTTCGGTTGTTATTCTATTTACACCGTTATGCTAAGAAAATATTAATTATTTGGAAACCATTTGGTTTTTTAATGAATAATTCAATTTATTTTAATAAATATGTAGATAAATCATTCAGAATATTAAAAAAATCTCCTGAAAAATGTGATTTAATAAGAATCTATAAAGCGAACATATTAATAAATAGAGTTTATTTTTAGTTATCAAATTAAAAATAACAAATATATAAATAAATTCATCAACAAAGCGTTATAAAATATTTAATTTTTGAACTAAATTAAGGTTTTCCTTTCAAAGAAACTGTTACAAATCTCTAACTGACATAACAATCAACTGTTTTCATTGTTCTCAGTTTTAGTATAAAATTTCAGGTCACACGGTTTTCGAATATATTTACTTGTTAATGGAAAATTACATTTTAAAATGAGAAAATAATATTAATGATGCAAAACGCTAGCGTTTCTGAATTGACGGACGAAAAACACATTTGACAACTAAAAGTCATAAAATAAAATTACTATTTTTGGTTATTTATCGATAAGTAGAAGTTAAGTGATGCTGGAGAATGGGATCTTAGCTGTTTTTCTCGTATGCAAATAGATGATTAAGTTACCTCATAAGACTGAGAATGTCGATTAACTCCAGCACCACCCTTTTGTAAAATCAGGGCCAGGCAGGTTATTACTGGTTGTTACGAAATTTATGACCTGACCTAGACAATCAATCTAAAATCAACAATTATCATTGGTCAGCCAATTTTCGTTTTCCTATAAATATCCTTCGGTGGTCATGAGAAAATCACTAAACTCTTCGGATCACTAAACCGAAAAAACAATTCAAAATGAAAACTTTGGTAAGTATATAACTGTATCAAACAAAGACTATATTTCTATTCGACTTTACAAGAGGTAAATATATATTTAAAATAATTCCTTTACAGCTGTTTGTTTCTGCCCTTCTTCTTTTGGCTGCAGTAGCCATGGCTGGTTACTATGGAGGACCATATTATGGTGGCTACGGATATGGATATAGACCATACGGAGTAGGAGTGGTTGCTGGTGTAGCTCACCACCCAGTTGCATACGGAGCAGCAGCTGCTGTGCCTGCTTATGGATACCACGGAGAATATGGTCCTTACCAAAGACGATACGTATACAAACCATGGTAAATCTTGCAGGTAAAATCAAATAGTAGTGTAAATATCATGCTGATTTGTGTTATATATACATTTGCTATAAAACATTAATTTTGTTTTATTTTTTAATTAAAGATAAAAAAAGAGGAAGATGAAGATAAATATCAAAACTTAAAATACTGGATATTTATATAAGTTATGTACTGTACCTTATAAAAAATTCTTAATAAAGATTTTGTAAGAAAAAATAGTTGTTCCAGGCTGATTAATTCATTGTGTTTTGTTAATTAAAAGACCTAACACCAAATAGGACGTGTCTTGGCGGAAAGGTTTATTTCCGGTTTTAAATTCTTAGTTTTTATTGGTCCTTTTAGCAATCACGTGATATTTAATTAATAATTTAAATAAATAAAAGGGAGAATTATGCATCTTTTAATATTAAACAGAAAAAAATGAATTTTCTGGTAAGTAGAGATATGTTTTCTTTTTTTAAATTTTGTTTACTATCAAAATTTAAACACAATTGACTAAATTATTTATAACTCAATTTCTGAATTTAAATGACATTTTTAAAACTGTGCAGCTAGGATTTCTGTTTGTTCTGCTTATTTCCGAAATGATAATTGGATCTCCTGAACGATATCAATACAATCGTGGAAATTATGCAAGACCATATTATGGTGTTTATGGATTTCCAAGGACGAGATATCGTGAACATAGAAAGCCACATATCAGAGGATTTGGCGGTTATGGAAGATATGGACGTGGTCGTAATCGTGGACGTGGAAAATATCATGAAAGATCATCCAGTTACGATAAACCCTTTTACGATGGAGGAGCATATGGTGGTGGTTACGGTGGCAATTACGGTGGTGGTTATGGTGGCATTAATAATCCATTCTTCGGTTATGGTGAAAGAGGATCATTTTACAGAAGTAGTCATGGTGCAGGATTCAGACCATTTAACGGTTTTAATAATTTTTATGGTTGATTAAATATTGTAAAGATATTTTTATGATTGAAGATTAATAAAAAGTTCTTTTTCCAAATGTTAAATAATTTTCTCTGTTTATTTATTCGTAGTTTTAATAATAGAGCGACAAAATTAAAACAAATAACTAAACGGTAAATCTAAATCAATTATTTCTGTCGCAAAAATTTTGCTGAAATAAAAATTTAACATTTAAATTTGTGTTTTAATTACTTTCATTTACTGTAATTTCAAGGTAATTAATTTATATTTTGATTTTAAAAAGTAAAATAATAGTAAAGTATTATTTTCTCAGATCTTTTATTATACTGTAATTAAATTTTTATAAGGCGAAAGACAAAATAATATCAGTAACAAAATGAAGAATTGAAAAGAAAAATTATCATCTACTGTATATTGATTTTTGGCTAAATGATCTTTTACAGCATGCAAGTTAATAGGAAAAACAAACCTACTCAAAGATAAATGGATCCAGTTTGTAAAATTGAAATATTAGGATATTGTGGACAATAAAAGAACCACTTTCACTCCATATAAAAAATATGCAAAATGAAAAGCGATAATTAAAACAAATATTTCTTGCATAATTTTTGCTTAAGAAATTTTAGAGGAATTGTTTATCGTTGAAAATAGATTCCTAAAATGATAATAAAAATAGGCTAAACGTAACGGTTACAATTTCTAACTTTCTAATGGAACAGCTTTTATTTAATTAGACAATTATTTCTCGCAATATATTTTGTATAAAAAAAATAATATCTTTTTAAAACTGCACCATAAAGACGTCAAACACACCCAAATACAACTCATAGACCAAAAACATAACGCATTATCAATCACTTCATGTCTGCTTAGGAAGTTACCTCAAAGACTAATAAGCTCTTTCGTTTTGTCATTATTTATTGTTAGCGTATATTATAATGATAATATACAATAGTATATTAGCATGATGAAGAATGTTGCCTCCGGCTATGACAGTGAAGTATGATCGTATTAATCGTTTTAGAAAAACTGGAATCGAATGACAGGTCTAACTATTTTAGCTTAGTAACTTCTCAAACATACACTCTACGATTTGAATTATGATATGTTTTAGAATTACAATTCTCTTATGAGACGATTTTAAACAGAACTATTTTTGATTTTGCATTAAATAGATAACAAGGTCCTTCTTAAACCAAGAAAGTGGCTAATTTATTAATTAAGATTTTTATAGAAGACATTTTAATACCTTGATAGGAAGGAAGAAATAAAAAAAACTGTCACATATATGAGTATTATGTTGTTTCTGGAACTCGCGCATAAATTAGGATGAATTATTTCATGCATTAAAATTTAGGAATGTACTCTGCTAACAATTTTTCGGTTATTTATTCAGATAAATTAAATAAAGGAAATTTTTGTTATTAATATAAAATAATTTAAATGAAATTTGCAATAAAAATTTACATTACTATTTGAGAAAAAGTTATTTTCATGCAAATTCTGCTGCAAGTTATACCAAGCAAAAAATATATATATAAGGTAAAGCGAGGGAAGAGAATGCACATTTCGGAAAATCGTTCTGTGTCCAACAAGACACATCAAAGAATAACAATTATAGAATGGCCCATTATAATTCAATCTCTTTAGAAAAAAGTTTTATTTTTAAAATTATGATAATAGAAAATTAATTATAATAAATATATTTAAGGTACTCCATTTTGCTATCTCTTCTACTGGGGTTGGTAAGATGACGCACTATAGGTAGAAGAGATGCCGTAGGAAAAATCATCACGAGTAACAAGTTAGAAACGTATATGATGTGTTAAAAGAAACATTTTTTTTTTTTCACTTTTATATTTTTTCAGTGTTGTAGATATTGCACCAAAAACAAGACAGTAATAAGTTAGCAGAAAATGAACACATTTTTATTCTTAATCTAAACGAAAAAATATTCAATATATCTGTAATATAATAAATGATAGTGTGTCTGAAACATGAAAATTACTTTAATTTTTTCTTTCTTTCTTTCTTTCATTGTGCTCTCCTATGTTAAAATATATATGAAAGTAACGTCATTTCTCCTCTTTTCATACAGTAATAAGTCATCTCTCCCAGTAGAGAGGAGAGACGACAAACCTTGACTTTTCGATACAAACGTGGCTATGATCTTAACTTAAACTGTCATCAACAATTTTATTATAAATTTTTTTAGAAATACGCTTATTAAAAATATTACGCCGACTGCATAAAAATTCACACTTAAAAACGTTAGTAATCAAAGTAACTCCTTTGTAAAATGCACATAACTGTGAAGATTTCGGAACAAATTTAGCTACGTGATCGTTCTTCTTCACTGCTCATTGTTTACTAAGACAACTAGTGCTATCTGCCTCAAAACTTGAAAAAAAAAAAAAAAAACTTTCGTTTACTCTTTTATTCCTGTCACTTTTCCTCGCTTTCCTCTATAATTAATCTATAAATATTATTCTTTACAATTTTATTAGATTTTTTAACTTTTTTAAAATAAATTTAGAAAAAGTATACACTGTATAAAAACATATTTCAGAAATAAAAGATAATTATTTATGTGATATTTGACTTATTTATTTTGAATTTTTGGTTTAAAGAGACATATTAATATGTTCCGCTTTTCCTCTCCTAAGTATGCCTATGAACATAAAAACCGTATAGGATGGTTAGGGTTTTTTAACACAGAGGGAAAAGATAAGTAGTCTTTCCATTCTAACAGTATCAAGAGTCTAAGTATAGTTAGTCTATTACGTATATAATTTAATTACATAACTATTTTCGCTTTAAGTAATATGAACTATAAAAGAAGCTTACTTAATAGCTATTAACTCAATTATAACAAATACTAATTTTGTTAAAATCTATAAATACATATAATTTATCTTCTCTTTTTAAATCGATATTAATAACTACTTTGATTAAGTTCATTAATAAAATTTTCCTGAACACAACTCACGACTCTTCATTAAAGCGATTATGAGGATTTCTCACGAAACTTTCGCTATTCTTTAACACTCTTACAGGAAATGTTCATTATTAAATAAACACGAATCAGTTTTAAAAATATAAATTAATAAACACGATTTAATACTCGAAAATCTCAATAAGTACTTCCAGAAAGTATATAAATCCTACCAGATGTTTCGAAGAGATATTCTAATTTCGGGGATCGTAGTAACGCAGTTAAAATCATGAAGACTTTTGTAAGTAATACTTTTTAACATTAGCTTTATAATCATTTTATATCTTTAATTTTATTCTTTTCTGTATTATTCAGGCAATAACTGTAAGCTTATTTATTACTTTTACTTCTGCTATTGAACAAAATCTTCTATTGCCTGGTATTAATCATGGATATCCTTATAATGGTTATCCTGTAATACCATGTCCATATCCTCTTGCTTCTGCCAGTCATTTAAATTATGGATTGTTTGGATTACCCAAGAATCAGGGATTAGGAGGACTCCCATTTCTAAGTAATTTGTTTAAAAATCTTAATTCGATTGGTGGTAAAGCATACGATTATGGTGGAGTACCTTTAATACCTGTAGGATTTGTACCATATGAAAGTAAAGGAATTTATCATTAAAACGGTAAGAATTACTTGAAGTTAAAGAATCTTAGGCTATATAAATTCGAAAAGTTATATATTTGTTTAAATTATTACAGAATATTCGTCATCTTCGAGAAGATTAAACTGTATCGTAAACTTTTTTAATAAAAAGTTATTTTAATGTATAGTTTCATTGCATTTTATTAATGATGCTAAAATATTATATTTACAGAATTTTATCATTATAAGTTATAGATAATATCTTATAAAAATTCAAATTAATCAATTCTAAAATTCTAATCTATCAAGATCCATAATGATCATTTCAAATTCTAGATTAGTAGTTTCTTTCCTAGAAAAGAGTGATAGCTTTTCTAGGAGCGCAATATTTCCGCGAGACATTTTTACTGAAAGATAAACTGTATTTATTTTTTAATTAAATTTTTAAAACATTTTTTGCTTGTTTCATTGAGAACAACACCCTTTTTAAAAATATTATCTTAATAAAATATACCAAGATTTAATTATGTAATTTTTTTCTGTTATAAATCTCTAAACTAGACGTAAACGTTTTCAAAAATTTTATTTCTTAAGCTTAAGTATACCTAAATCTAGATTACACGCGAGAAACTTTTTCCTTAAATTAGAAAACAAAAAAAAAGGCAAAAAGCTTAAATTTGAGGGTAATGATGGGTTTTATAATAAACTGTAAATGCTAGTAACGAGTAAAATCGTTACTAAGTCTGACTCTACTGGAGATACACGCGATCCCCTTTATTCCCCACCCGCTCGACCTTTAATCACCATTTTTTATAATTAATAGGGAGATTAATAGCATCAATCCCCACTAATAAACAAATCTCCCTGCAAAATTTCAGAAATTTTCGACAAAAAACACAGGAGCTATAAAGCTTCAAAAAGGGTAAACAAAATCGTGCCCACACACAAACATCCCCCATAGAGAAATTACCCCCCCCCCCATTTTTTCCATTTCTCGACGTTTCAAGGTATGCTGAGTCAAAAAATGTAAAAATCTGGAGGGTCATTTTTTGACCAATCGCCATACTTTCCCTCTGTTATGTATAACAGTCAGGAAAGTAAAAACGAATTTTTCATTAGAGATGTGAGAAAGCATTTTAAAAATTCAAGAGATACGAACAGCTTAAAAAACTACGAACCATGTTCGAGATGAAGCATAAAGACTTATATTAATACCTACATTAAGGCTACATAAGAATCAAAGCAGGTATATATTAAGTCAGTTTAATTATTCTCGTAATAAATAAACGAGAAAAATTTATTAAACACTGACTTTATAGTGTATTTTGAAGACACATGGCAAATTTTTTCATCGTTTATCTTACCATACCGTATCAACTAATTACAGATAAACGATGAAAAAAATTTTGCCATGTGTCTTCAAAATACACTATAAAGTCAGTATTTAACAAGTCAACAATAAAAAAAGGACACGGTTTCACAACAAATACAAACGAGAAAAAATTAAAATTGTTTTTACCTACGATTAAAAATGTAGTATAAAAATAAAATGTTAAACTTTAAAATAAATAAAAAGCAACAAAGACTGAATAACAAAGACAGTATACAAGAAAACTCAAAACGATTTCATCGAATAAAGAAAAATAAGAATGAAACTTGGCAAATTAATAAAATCATGATTGTCACTTTGATGCTTTTTCCTGGTAATCCGATCTGTTTTTACGATATTTAAATAGGACACGAATCCGAAAACATGGAAAGAATATAATGTGAGCTTTTAGTGACCTATATGCATACAATATACATATATTTTTTAACAACATACAGTGGGTATAGAACCGTAAGCGGCTAACTCTGAAACGTTACTTTTCAGAAAACGGAATTTGAAAATTAGATCAACTAAAAACAGTAAATTTTTGGTGGACAATTTTATGCTTAATTTTTCTAATGAAAAAATACGTATAACAAAATCGTACATTATGTAATATATTACAGTACATTTAAACATGCTTACATTGACAAAAAAAAAAAAAAAATAGAATTGTACACGGATAGAATTGTCGGATTATTGCAAAACTCGGCATACATCTATATCTCAGACGGGCATAAAAATGATTATAGTTGTAATCTGATGACACGCCAGTTAATGCATCGGAATGTCTTAAAATTGCTACCGCAGTATCTTATAGAAAAGGTAGAGCGTATCTCTACGTTCAGAATTTTTAATGTACTTATTGTTTGGAGATCGCAGGCCTGCTTGTACAATACAGTCAAAGACATTACGCACAGATGATGGAGTTTAAGAAAGGCCGTATCATCGGAGTGAAAAAAGCAGGATAACCATTTCGTCATATTGCCTGCAGAACGGAGAGAAGAGAGGCCATAAGTACTGTACACGGCGAGAAGCTCTCGAATGCCACAGAAAGACACCTGGAAAGAGGGTAGTCTTATCATGAGATAAATTCCAGGAATGCATATACTTTTCGTTTGAGATGGATCGATCTGTAAGAGCGGATCAGTCTTTGTCTCGTGATACAGGTCACTTCTATCATGTGTGTTAGTTGGCGAAAAGTATATAAGAAGGATAGAATCGTATTTACTCCGTGAATAAAACTGCTCACATAATGGCAAAATGGGATAGTGCACGCCATGCATTCTTATCGTACAATATTTCAAAACTGTCTCTTAATACTTATTTTTTTCATCTCAGTTTATCGGATATTTTAAAAATGTTTTCACTTACCATTTATTGAGTTTTAAATACATTTTATTGTCGACACTCAAGCATATTTCTTTGCTGTCAACTATCAGTTTGACTTTAACCGTGGAGGTCGCCATCTTCTTTTTTATCTGATTCAAATGATCTTACCCTCAGCTCGGATTAGTTTGATAGCGATCCAGTCGATCCTAGATGGCGTTTGTATACACGGATCAAATCGCTATAGTTCGTTTGTATACGGGATTTGAACGATCAGAATAATCTTGGATCAGTTTGATTCCAAATGTATATGCACCCCAGTTGCTGCAACTGTGTCTGTCTACCAGCCAGGGACAAGTGAAAATCTCTCTACAAAATCCTCTTTTCTCAGTGACGAATTACCCAGTAAGCGCACTAGGCACAGGGCACGCTTAGGGCCTCGTCGTCTCCAGGGTACCCAAAAATTACACAGCAAAAATTAATATGCCTCTAAAATTTAATTAACGTTTAAAAAAGGTAGCCTATATTTTGCAACCCAGCATAAACAATAAAATAACTCATAAATTGACGATTTTGTTGTGTTTTTAATTAATTAATTAATATTAAAAAAACACTTTTACATAAAGGACCATATAACAAAACGGAGCCTAAGGCTTCAAAGGAACATAATCTGCTACTGTCTTTTCCCATTATCAGGAGCAAAACTACGACCATTATTCAATGGTTTTATCTACTCGGCCACTAGTGGATCGTTATTTTATTATGACCTAACCTACTTTCATTCAAATTTTATAAAAGTTTATATATAAGAATAGTTGTTTCGTTATTTTATAATATAAATAAATTTCATAATTTGATTTATAGTGAAAATATTCCTGTAATTTATGTTTCATTTTATGGTGCTTTATAACAAAGAATTTTAGTGGTAAATACATTTTTCGAGGTAATATTTTAAGTTTAACTTTTTAATTAGCATTTTATTTGCTGATATTGCCAGTATAAACATTTTTCAAATATAAAAACTAGCTTAATCAACACCTGATCAGTCGCTGAGAGATTTATTCTTTAAACAAACGTTTTCAATCCAATCAATGGATCATCGTCAGGTTAATTAGAACATTTCAAAAAAATAGAACAACAAGTTCAAAATACAAAATATAAATATTAATAACCGATAACTTATACGCTATTAATAGCCAAATAACGTTTTTAAATAATAAAATTAATACAAATGCTGCTAATACTAAAAATAAAATAAAATAGTCAAATATAACAAACAAATTGTGAATACTAAATATTAATACCTCTAACTTAATAGACAAACTGTTAATACTAAATATTAATATTGCTTACTAAACTACACAGAGTTTCTCTACTTAACTATACAGAGTTTTTACTACACATATTATTAAAGTTCCTGCTCTTATTTAAAGTTTTTAATTGCAAACTTCCATGCGGAAGGAAGTCCCTCTGCATCTCTTGCGTTGATGCAATTCCCTTTAAGTTTGCTTCTATAAATTTCTAATTTTTCAGCCGTTCTTGCCAAAGTCGGGGAGTGTATCTGTTTCAGGATATCCGCCTCATCCCATCGTACTATTGAACCTTCCGTTTGTGCCATTTGAGACAATACTGTGGCATTAGAACCTTTTCTAATATCATATCTGTGCTCTTTTATCCTTACACCTAGGTTTCTAGTAGTAACCCCAACATATTCTTTATTTATTCCTAACATCTGATTCTCGTATGGGATCTTATATATACCCGACCTATCTTCTTTTTTAACTATCCCTTTATCGTTTTTAAGTATTCTGTACAAATTCGGAGCTCTTTTTAAGACCATCCTTGTATCTTTTTTATTTGCGATTTCTTTCTTAATGCTTCCTAAGCGCTTGTTGTACGTAAATTTCGTGTATGTAGATGGACCTCGACCAGATACTATATCTGTACCAACTTCTAATTTATTGATAATCCCCTTTATAACTTTCCTATTGTAACCCAATGCTTCTGCTACCTGCATGATTCTTTCTATTTCTGCATCCCTGTCTATTATACTTTCGCAGTATAAAAAAGCCCTCCTAACTAATGCTCGAAATGCTGCTAATTTATATTTATAAGGATCATTAGAGCTAGCAAGTATATATAGTGGGCTATGCGTTGGTTTAATAAATACCCCGGTAGATATACGTCCCTCTCTAAATATAATATTAATGTCCAAAAAAATATACCATAACAGAGCTTTTTTGCTCTAGTTTTAAGCTAAGGCCATCTTCATTATCGTTAATCCTATCTATAAAGTTAGCAATTACTCGATTGTTTTTCCATATTATGAATATATCATTAACATACCTTTTGTAGTATACAATATCGCTTTCGAAATTACACAGAACTTTAAGCTTATCGTAGATAATTCACGAAAGTATTTTATGAACTTTTGCAATTGATAAAGAACAATCATTGAAATTGATTGAACAGATTTATTTCGTGAATACCAGACTTTTAAATTTATGGATTTATTTTGCATTTTTAACAACAAACAAATCATTAAATTACAGAAATGAATTCGATATTTCTTTTTTAAAATATACCAATAGAAAAATGAAAGCCATAAACTCCGGTTTTCAATTATTGTATATTAATCCATTAGTACTTAGATGAAAACTGAAAATTAAAATAGGTTTAAAATAGATTTTTTCAACTTTTATGACATTATTCCATCTGTAGTTCCTTTATATAATGATAATAATTTATAAATTTAATAACTTAATTTTAAAATAAATGGATCAATTTTAATTTATTAGACAGTGATAAATAAAAAGTTCAAAATAATTTTTATTGGTGGATACATTTTTATTATTAAAAATGTTTTACTCTCAAGAACATTTTCAATTGAATTTGAATTCAAACTTTCGAATTCTTTTTAAATACGCTTTTAGAATTTCGAATTCCGTTATTCTGCTTCTTTCGTTCTGCAGAAACGCAAGCAAGATGAACAATTCTCCAAGTGAAAAACTTAGAAAACGAAGCCGCAGTCGCTCGAAATCCAAAGAACCTCCAGAAAAAAAGATGATGATAACTCCTTTGGATAAAAATGTGAATGAAGATTTTTACTCCACTCAAAATGGAGATAAATTGGATGGAGATATCACTCTTGGAAAACAAGCACCCAGCCCAGAAGAACGAACTCGTTGGAGAAAATACCGGAGAAGATTGAAAAGATCGGGGAAAGATAAAGCTCAGAAAAGAAAGCTTTCGAGACTCATGAAAGAGCGATTCAAATTTAGAAGGAAGAGAAAAAACACAAAGAAAAGTCGGTCCAAGCCAAGGAGAAAGGGAAGAGGCAGAAGTCCATCCAAGAAAAGACGTGTAACAAAGAGAAGACGCATCCAAAGGAAAGGTAGAAGTAAGAAAAGAACATCACGGCCGTAAGGGTGCTAATAAAGTAATGTCTTCGATTTTGGATAACGGTATAGCTAGATTTTTATAATTTAGTTAACAAAAGGCTCTTTTCAGAGCCATTTTTTAATGTTAAGGAGTAACCAAATCGAATTTGTAAAAATTTACTAAATTATATACGACATAAGTATCGTATTTATATTTAAGGAAATTTTCTGTAACCGAGAATATTCAAATATAACCATTCGAAATGTTTAAATTTAAAAATAGTCTACCCGGCCATCCTACTGTCTTTTTTTTAAAAACTCTTTTAAAAAGGGCCTCTTTTAGCAAGTCCATTATGGATTCGGCCAGACCCACAATGGGGCGGCCGGGTAGTGAGGACGGGGCCCGACATATCCGGACGGACCACCCCGAAAAATTCCTGGGAATTTTTCGACCCGTCCGGATTCGATTCCGGGTCCCCCAGATCGGTAGGCTGCCACCTTGACCGCTTGGCCATCCGGCCAGAATATGTGGCTCTGGACGGCGAGCCGGATTCAGCGTAAAAAAAAAAAAATGGAAGTTTCGACTCCGGATCCAAAGCTTTGCTTATATTATTAGGTATTTCGTGAATTATTCATTGTTTATTACAGTATAACAAATATTTTCTGTCTTGTCCAAATTTGTTATGTTGATTTCGTCAACCGCCGCAGTTTGGCGCCACCAACGATTTTATTGGCGAATATAAATAGAAAATTAACGTATAGGAACTTGTTGCATTGGCAACACTTACACATAATAGTAATGTGATTTTTCGCATGTGAGTCGAAAACTTTGTTGCATGAATATTATTAAATGAATCCGTTTAAATAACTGTAACGAAAGAGTTAATGATGGCAACGCGAAGGTTAATGATGTTGGGTAAGTGTTATGCCCCGAAACTGAAGCAAGTAGTTACTGTTTCTGTGCCTCATGAAGTCTATGATGATTTTCTACATGCGGTGAGAATTTTTTTTAAAGTTATATGTGAAGTTAGCTTTCGATAACCTATTAAATATTTTCTTTAAATTTTATTTGGGTAGTATTTTACTCATACTACTGAATATGAAGTGTATGACCCAGAAGGAAAATGTAAGAGAGGAGATATTGTGCTCATTAAAGTATGTATTTACAGTTATTTTATTTAACTTTATAAGATTATTACGCAATGTAGATATGAACACAAATATTAATATAAAAGGTAATTGTTTACTATTTCCCCACTGACTTGGATTTTCTTCTAATGCGTACCGATATATTCGTCTGGTTGAGCACGGCACGGAGCCGTTGTTTTTTGTTGGCAGTTGACGATAGAACAAGAGAAATAGCTTTCAAATTTTACCACGTGCACATGGCTGCTATTACCAATGAAGCCAAAAACACATGTATTGCTCATTGATGCATTACAACAACCTATCACGACTCTATAATGATAAGTCTGATGATGATGATAATAATAATAAAACTCGCCCAGGAAATAAGGCATCTGTGGAGGATGGATAGGGTGCTTATTGTACCTGTTGTTCTCTCCTGTACAGGTGTGATACCACACACATCACACAAAAGCCTGGGAACATTACAATTGAGTAGAAATACATACATCACACTACAGAAGTCCACTATATTGAATACATGCCACATTGTTAGGAAATTCCTGAATACAGACACACACACTGATACACTTATTTAATTTTAGTTTTGTTTTGTTTGCTATGCCTTGACTCTGGCCCGGCATAGTACACAGCTACCGGTGTGAACCGAGTATAACTCACAAAACCCAACATAATAATAATAATAATAATACTAAAAAGGAAAGTCAATAGTACTCCTTGGAGTTCTTAATCAATATTGCTTCACAGTTGCACCCGTCATACGTCTCGATGATGGGTGTGAATCTGCTTTTTGTGACTGTCGAACTTTGTTGTCTGTACGTCAAATGGGTGGCCTGTCGTATGATGTTTTTGATTGACATTGAGGAACATTGGTACGTACTTTCTGCCAAAACCTCTCGATGTGTTGGGTGTGCACTCTGGTGCCAGGATGAACAAAATTGAGTGGTTTACAGACAGGTGAAGAAATCCTTCCTGCTTGAGACAGTTGTATGTCTTCCAACAATCACTGATGAGCATGGTCCTGGGCTTGGTACAGCGACAGATCACTTCCAACAGGGTGTCTCTGCAATTCACTCAACAAATGCCTGGCCGCTTTTAGGCTTGACACCATCAAATATCCAAGAGCCGCATATCGGGTCGCTGCGGTTGTATTTTCACTTGCTGATTTTGAACTTGTCAATTTCCATAGAGGCCTTCACAGACTTGAAGGCTTCACAAGGTACGGCTGGTGCATTTGTCATCTTTTCCTTTGGCATGGAGAAGCATCATGGTACTGTACTTTTAGCCTTCATTCAGAGTGCTTGGTGTTCTAGGCAGAAATCTTTGCTGTCCTTATGGCTGTACAGTATTGCAACAATGAATATAAGGAGAAACTAATCAACATCAGCAAAGATAGTGCCGCCGCTGTGCAAATCCTACAGGATAAGGACACCACCCACTCTATTGCTGGGGACATCCTTTCTGCCACCTTCCTGTCTTCTAACACCTTGCCAGAGACTCATATTACTAGGCAACTCCTCCCGAATGTCAGCAATCGTCTGAAATGGAAGGGGATTCACCCACATCACCACCTTACTCAATTCTTAAGTTAGCACAGACGTTTCAGCGCCCACTTACACAGATTTCATAATAGTAATACAGACTGTTGTCCTGTCTGCGGTATTCGTGATGGGGTGTACCACTACCACATTTANTTTTTTGTTTCTATTTTATTACTTTTTATATATGTTATCTGCTTTCTGTGTCTTCATGGTTCTCCAATATATATCTTGTTCAGCATTCTCGATTGTGCCTAGCGGTGTCAGGATCTAATAAAGATTATTTATCTGTCTATTGTCTGTCTGTTAATTTCCACTATAATGCCAGGACCTCCAGTTTTACCATCGTTGATGGATTGAACCTCCCAGGCACATATCTTATGCAAGTAACTGAACCAGTCAGCTGCTGTACAGGAGGAAATGTCAAGTTCCTCCATCAGAAATGTTTGCCTCAGCAGATTCATATGAGCCCAATATGTTACTAAATTGCATATTGTCCCTTTAGGCAAGTTGTGGTTGGTGAATCACATGCCCTTCAGTCAAGAAACCTCCTTGCCACATGTTCCAGCTGTTCATTTTTTCTTCCTTTCTCCAGCAGTTTCTAATTGGGCAAAATATCTGAACAAGCTGCATTTAACACCATCTGGGCACCACGTTCGCATTTCCTGTGCATCTGAAGAATGCTGTGACTTACCAAGAAATGAATCAGGTGGTTAGTGTCACTTGTCAAACATAAAAACTTGATAAGAGTGTATATGCACCACTACAAGCGACCATCTTCATGCATGAACTTTGGATATCACATGATTTCATAAATAATTTGTATATGCCTATGAGGGATAAAAGGGAACACTTCCATTCTCAGGTAATTTCCACATGTGGATGGAAATGAGAACGAGTTGAAAACCACCATCTTTTGAAATAAAATGTTCCAATGTTAAAGTTATATCCTGTTGATTTTTTAGATTCAGTGAAGTGAAATTCATATAATATCTTGATGTGCTGTATGTGTGCTGAGATATTCAGTGGGCCTTTTTTATCCTTCCATTGTCAACCACTGTAAAAAAAAACATGGATCCATGCTCAGCTTGACTAGAAAATTTATCAGTATGCATTAGAAGAAAATCTGAGTTGGTTGAGAAATAGTAAACAATTACCATATAAAATATATTGATGCATATTACATACAAGCATTTACAAAATTTAATGTAATTTAATGAAACACTATAATGAGCATTTGAAGGTTTTAAAAAATGCATAATTCCAAATATTGGGAGTTAAACTGGAATAAAGGAGATTAACTGTTCATTGTAAGATTAATGAAATAGCATTAAGTCCTGCATGTTAAATCTTTGATACATATTAAATTGAACAGGGTTAATCATCCCTAAACTATATTTGGATCAAAAAATTTCCCCATTTTTATGCTATGTTGTTTGTTCTTCTGTTTAAATAAACAAATACAAAAACATGCTGCGTAATTATGAAAAGAAAGTTTTTTTTACTAGATATAATTCTAAAAGAAGTTTAGTAAGTTGTAGTGATGATACAATTATTTTTCTTTATTAATATTCAAATGGGTGGCCTGTCGTATGATGTTTTTGATTGACATTGAGGAACATTGGTACGTACTTTCTGCCAAAACCTCTCGATGTGTTGGGTGTGCACTCTGGTGCCAGGATGAACAAAATTGAGTGGTTTACAGACAGGTGAAGAAATCCTTCCTGCTTGAGACAGTTGTATGTCTTCCAACAATCACTGATGAGCATGGTCCTGGGCTTGGTACAGCGACAGATCANTTATTATGAAGACATGAAAATGATATAATCTAATAATGACATATAGAACAAACTTGTAAATGTTTTCAGTTCATTTGTTGCTGAATGTTAAAACATTGATAAAATATCAATAAATTCACATATTTTTAATGTTTGGAGAGATTAATAAATATACAGTGTAGGGCCATTAAGCTGCGGGTCAGTAATCTGTAAATTTGCTTAAGGTGCACAAAAAGCTTGGATCCCAATTTTTTGACACTATGGATTGTACGGACTGGACATGGTCTCTCAAATATGCGAGACAGATGTTGACAGCTGTCATTTTGGCATTTCGAATGTCCATGATTGACACTATCGCGCATTAAATATTTAAATGCTGGCTTATAACTTCAAAGAGGTATTTATAGAAGATTAGTCTTTTATTTATCAATAAACAATAAAATAACTTACAATGAAATTCAAATACAGTATTAATCTGTTTTATCCATGCTGAGTGTCAGCATTATGGAGGCCACCATTGTAACTGATTCAAATCTTACAATGTTACAAAGTTAATCCACAGTAAATCTGCAAAAAATCGACTCGTATTAAAGTACAGTATTGTTATTCTTAAATAATAATTTATTATTAATTTCAAGGCTGTTAATCAAAAAACTTTAATTTTTTCATTATTTATTGTAATTTATGCATTATCAAAAAATATTTAAGCTGCGGTTAAGCAGTTTGGACCCCAATCACCATGGCTTAATTAATGGCCCTACACTGTGTTTAACATATTATTGTTGTATAAGAAAATTATTTCCATTAGATTTTTTCATTTATTACATTATCTTTATGAACTGTATTTTTTATGAGAACAAAACTTTTTTCTTAAAATTCTTATTTTGTGAGTTTTCACTATTTGATAGTTAATTATGTTATTTATTCTCAAAACTGAGACATCTCTTTTTGTAAATGTTCCTTTTTTCCAAATAAATATTATGATTGTCTTAATTAGCAGTTTATTTTTATATATATATTTTTCATATATACAGTACTTGTTGACAGAAAACTAAGCACTCAGATAGAATTGTCCAATCACTGCAAAACTTGGTACACAACTACGTCTGAGATAGGTATGTAAATGAAGGGATCAGTGCAATAAGGCTTTAAGCCACACATAGTTACTTTTGAGATATGAGCATTTGAAAGTTTTAAAAAATGCATAATTCCAAATATTGGGAGTTAAATACTGAAACTACTTTTATTCTGAAGTTTTGGGTCTTGTGTTACATTTACCTCTTTTACAGAAATATATATCTTGTTCAGCATTCTCGATTGTGCCTAGCGGTGTCAGGATCTAATAAAGATTATTTATCTGTCTATTGTCTGTCTGTTAATTTCCACTATAATGCCAGGACCTCCAGTTTTACCATCGTTGATGGATTGAACCTCCCAGGCACATATCTTATGCAAGTAACTGAACCAGTCAGCTGCTGTACAGGAGGAAATGTCAAGTTCCTCCATCAGAAATGTTTGCCTCAGCAGATTCATATGAGCCCAATATGTTACTAAATTGCATATTGTCCCTTTAGGCAAGTTGTGGTTGGTGAATCACATGCCCTTCAGTCAAGAAACCTCCTTGCCACATGTTCCAGCTGTTCATTTTTTCTTCCTTTCTCCAGCAGTTTCTAATTGGGCAAAATATCTGAAC